CCTTTTGACTGATTAAACCGATTACATTTCATGAGAACATTTCGCAATTTAACTTCGGTCGAACTTCCCCATTATCAGCGTCCCTTACTTAAACCCAAATAGGCCAATTTTGTATTAACACAATTATGCTATATGTAAGAAACTTTAAGGAAAATATAGGATAAACATAAGGTCCATACCAAACACCATCCAAATCCGTAAAGCAGTGCACATCGTACAAGATTTTACGTAAATGTTGGTCTTAAGTGATTCACGAATTTTTATACAGTGGACCACTCTTGGAGACCATAAAACTGATTGTTTAAAGAACACTTCTGGGTTCTGTAGGCAGCACATTTCGTTATTTACCTGTCACGAAGTTGATGACTGAAATTCTTTTAAGCAATGTCTGTAACACTGCACATATTGAAAATTTCAAGTCCGAAGTATGAAATAAGTTGACTTCCGAATTTTCATATTATCAAGGAAGTAATTTAGTTAAACTTTTAAGAACGCTAATTTAACAAAACTTTAGGAAAATACTAATGTTGAAGCATCATATTAAATTAACAAGAACAAAATTTACTAAAAATGCTAAAAACGGACTCAGCAATTTTTGGAACACAAAATTCTGAAAGTAATTACTTTATTTTACCGTGTAAAAAAGGGAATTTAATTGTTAGTATGCCTGTTCATTTATAAGAAGTGATAGTGTTACAGATAACAATGGCCTGCTGATCACCTCTAGAAAACTAATACCATCAGCCAATTTTAATTTTCCATTGTAAGCCTGAATATTCCAATGTAAAATACACAATTAACTACACCCACAGTACGAACAATAAAATGGTATTTTCTCCACCGCATACAATTTTTCAGCTCACGACAGACAAGTACAAACAGATGAAGTGGATCTACTGAACCCTGGTTATTCAAAATAATACTGTGATGATACAAATGAGATTTTCTGTTGGATTTTCTGCAGGCATTACACTACTTCACAGATTAATTTCTACGTCACACAGAAAATTAGTGTATCAAAATAAACACTGGAAATTTGTGTGAAATTCTAAGACAGAACCCTAACTAAAGCACAAAGATCATAGGAACAAACATTTTCAATTTTTATTGAAAAGTACAAAAAATGCACATTATATTGTAAAAACACTCATTTAAAATAATATCAATGTAAATTTACCTCCTTCAATAATAATAATTATACATTCAAAATTACATTCTCAAACATCAGTATTCCATTACACATGGGATTCTGTATGAATTCGTTCTCTACTGCTGTTCAGCGACAGGAAACTGCACTCGTGCATTTACAATTAAAAAATTACTACTCAAATTATCCAATGCCTGCTACCATGATTAATAGCAAACTCTGCCAGTACGCACAGCCCTCGCTTTGTATGGCTAAAATCTAAAAGGGAAAGAAAAAAGTTTGTGTTCACTTCATCATTGCTAACCAAAAGGGAAACATCAGTCTCCTACTCTGAGAAATGTGCATTGCAAATGTGCTGTTGCCCTGAACCTCAATTTCTGAAAGTGACTCATAAATAAGAAACTTTCACCAGATTTCTTGTCCAGCCCGGTAAAAGAAACAAAGCTGGCATGGTACTTTGATAGTTGCAACCCAGGGGTTCATTAGCGTTCCCAAATGCCCACCGAGACTGTACTGTCACCTACTCCCACATCTCATAAGTCGTCTCCTCCTCATACAATGACAAAAATGTACCAACATCTCAGCTCACATGCACGCTACAACCACAACAGCTAACCAACTCCATGGTGCATGATCATCCCTGAAACGTCAATATTTATTCAACTGGTAAGAAATTCCCTGCTCTTCAAGCAGTTCTAATATAAGGAAATCGCAACTCATTACAAAGTCATCCAAATTATGCAGAAATTTTGGATATAAGGATATAAATGAGAATACAAACTCTAAATGAAATAATCTATTACATCTGTGTATAAAATTCACTCATTTTCATAATGTATGAATCACGCACATAAAATTCTCAGGCTTAAAGAAACCCAATAACGTAAGAAAAACATTTACCTACATTAGTAAGATTTGAGATTCTCGTGGCAGCGAGTACAAAGATGGCCGTCTTCTGAGCTGTTGAGTAGTCTGGTAGAAGTTGCCATTTCCAGGGTTGACTAATCGAGGCAGTAATAATTTCTGAAACATTGGTAAACTTCTACCAGAAGAAACAAGGCTACAACCCAGATGACAGCCATCTTCATTTACCCACAAATTTTCTTATGACATCTTTTACAAAACAAACGACTTCTTCACCAAAGCGCCTACAAGGAAATTACAATTTAAATTTTGAGGGTAGTGCTTAACCAGTGAAAGTAAGTTAACAAACATCCTTGTCTCTTCAGTACTGCCAATTTGTTACCATAAAAAAAATCTTTGCTGTCCCCAGACCCAGAAAACTTTGTGTATACATCAAGCAGAAGAGTGTGTTCAAAGTATCTCGTTACCTCACCTTAAAAGATGGTAATCACATGAAAGACCATGGGCAAAATAATTTCATAATCTCTAATATCTGGATTTCCATCATGTCTGTACTAAGCCATTATAAAGGCATAATGGGAATTACATAAAATTGCCAAAGACAAAATAATATGACTGTCATAGCCCTGAAGATGGAGGTAGTATGTTTCTCCAAACTGTTGGTATATACCTACGAGTCCACATGGTGTCACAACCCAGACCTATACAATGGTACCTTCAATCTCACATACTGTGACCACCGCTGAATTGTTCTAACGCTGCTTAACCAAAACAAGAAATCAGTTTCAATTTCAAATGCTACTGAAATATATTTACGAATGGTTCAGCTCAAAAGCCATTGTCCGAGATACACAGACATAACACGAAGCATTTCTGTTGCAGGTTTCGGTACTTGTTGGTTATCGGGACACAGAACGGGAGAGTCATATCTGGACCTGCATATCCAAATAAAATAATAAATTTCACGTATATGTCATTTATCAGCACACATTAACCTAACCTAATTTTAAAGTGATGTGTCCCGATAACCCACAAGTACCCAGGTTTCTGTTACAGTAAGGGCATACTGAACGTGTTACTACATTCTGATGTTTGTGCATCATAAATGGCTCTAGAACAGAAAAACTATTCACTTAAAAACATACGTTTTGGAAGCTAAATTCTGATGACAGAAGCTGACAGCTCCTGAAATACATTACGTAACTAACAGGAAAAAGGAAAATGTTCAACATCATTAATCAGTTGAAAAAGTAATTTCACTTAACAATGACTCTTTTCCGTTGTATACATTCATGAAACCGATAACACAGGTGTTCATGCTGTATTTACTGTTACATCATATTCAGAAAAGAGTTCAGTTCTGCCCATTACAATCCTGTATCTTGCATTCGATGAAGTTCAGTGCACCGACAAAATGGTGCAGGTTTGCAGACTCGTAACTCACAAGCTGCATGCTGATGGGCAGACAATTTGAATATCTGCTAAGCCACTAGTTTCACGTGGGTTTTCTCAAAACACCACCAGTGTCATTCTGTGTACAAACCCGAGACAATTCATTGAGAACATCACTAAGACATCCATAATCATAAAAAAAAATGATGGGATAAGCATCAGGGAATTTGTATTTAAAATTTTTGTTTCCATCATATTTATCTGTTAACCAAACCAAAATATGGCTGGATTAAACAGAAAATTAATACTGCAACTGAAAGACTCTGATAAAATGTGGAAAAAGCTGTCCCACTATACGCCATGTAGGCACTTGGGGGCAGAGAGGTATAGCTCCTACTTATTCTTGACCTGGGCACTAGATGGGGGTTTGTGGTCAGCATCAAGCCTTGGCTGCTCCATACCCCAGGGAAAAGACCCCGGTACCCATTGGAGAGGAGGCTGGTTGGGCCCCAGAGCTGGTCTGGACACAGAGGCTAAAGGAAAAATCCTCTGCCCCGTCGAGATCGAACCCGTCATCCAGTCCATGGTCAAGAACTATATTGACTGAGCTATGCCAGCTGATAAAATGTGGAACCACACAATATTGTGTATATCACAAAATTAATTACAGTTTATTCAAGGCAGACTTTTAATCTTCTTGAATGTCAAAATGCACTACAGTGGGCTTAACCTGGAGAAGTGGCAGACATACAGAATGCAAAGAATTCCAAAATGTTCTCAGACCAATTACATCAGCTGCAAAACATGCAGCAAGACTTATAACAAATCCTGTCCCCAGAATCCACAAACTACTTGCATTAATTTAGAAAAGTCAAGTGAAATTTGAAACACAAGGCACGATCACTGCTAAAAGAATTATCTCAATTTCCCAGGCCAAGCAGTGACTCCATTCTGTGTGATCAACAGAGTTAACCTCAAAATTCCAAATACACTTAAATCCATTCCCTTGGAATTTATCACCATTACAATATTTCAATTTAAACTACCTGAACACGTGTAAAAATTTGGAAACCATAAAATGTAACATACCTGAACAAGAAGCGATGTCCAAAAGTTATGGAGATTATCCAAAACAATATTCCACTACAGCATAATCAATGTTGGCTCCTTACACAATGCCATACACCAACACTGAGTAGCCTAACTCGGGCCTCACTGGCTTATTTGAAGAAATAAGCCCCCTCACAGCACATCATACATCATCAATACAAACTTCACTGTATATTAAACACTACACAGACTAATTTAAAAATAAACCATGCTCCTAACCAACACAATTTCCTAATCACACAGTTTTTGTTGATTACTGTAGGAATCAGCGAATCTCCTGCATCAGGATAGGATGGGAACAACATGAACTGCACTAGACAGGCTTGCCTGGATTCAATAATACATAAATCCAAGACCTCAAATGAAACAATGATCCTTCAAATCACAACATAAACCAACAACAAATCCCCCCCCCCCAAAAATAATTTCTTTGTTGCGATACACGCTTTTATTTGTACAAAAAAAAACTTGCACTGAATGGACGAAGTTTCTTTAAACAAAATTTATGTACAAGCATACCTATTTTACATATAGAATGTTTCAATAAATTTTCTTATACAATATAAATCATATAATATTAATTTCTGTAATTACTATTGACTTTAATATGAAAGAAAAAACCTGAAGCATGACTTTATAATCCGAGTTAGCTCCGCTGAACTAACATAAAAAAAAATACTGCAACCAAAACTTAAAATCACAGACTGCTGTTCCCAGCTTTGTACCTTTTACTGAAAAGTATGAGAAGTCCTTCACTGCAGTCTTCTCACATCTCACATGTTTTTAAGCTTAAAGGACTCCACTTTTCCATATGGCAGTCATGTTAAAAACTCGTTTGTATGTATACATATATATTTATAACCTATCAATAATATAAGTACATTTCGCTTTTACCCTGTCAAACAGTCAGCCCTGCTTTTCCTTAATTACACATCACAGTGTTAAGAAATATTAAACTGTCGCACATCCACTGGCTTACAATTACAGATTCAAGCACTCTCTCAGTCGTACAAATATCTGGGAGAAAATAAGTATTATGCAATGCACACACTGTCATTTTTCGATGAGTCAAACTTGTACTCACGCGTTCATCCCTCTTTGTACCATTCATTACCCAGTGGTCCCGATCGTGTGCGGCGGAGTTGAAGGGATATTATGAGAAAAATAGGTAATTACTGAACCATTTACAATGAGATCACAAGGGCTACACCATTTTTGGCAGGGTTACGGCGGGAGATAATTTTGGGGTAAGGGGTAAGTACATCGTCAAACGTGTACGGTGGGGGAAAATGACGAGGGTTAGGACGGGGGAGGATGTGAACACTAGCTCAACTGGACACGTAGGCCGCCAGCTGCTCGAATGGCTGAACTCCTCTGGGATCCAGGAAAAACTCCATTGTTCTCATGGAATCCTTACACCCCGACGTCGAGGAATTGGTGTTGATGTTGCTGCCACTGGTACAGTCAGCCTTGGATACCCTCTCCAAGCCCAAATCCTCCGAACTCTGGACGCTGTTCGAGTCTTCATAAAGGACACAAATAGACCCATTCTCACCAATCCTGTAGGACACTTCGGCTGGGTCAATCCACATGGTCAGCTCCGATGGGAATAGCCTGTGCAAATACGATGCCGGCAGCCCAACAGCAACACCAGCTTGCGCAATCACTGGATCCATCTTCCCATTAATTCGTAGACAGCGATAGCCCGAGCCACGAGTTGGCTTCTCTGGGAACCAATGCTCGTGATACCGTCGTCGTAAGACGTCGGTTAATGATGATTTGAACATTTCCAGTTGCGATTCAGTCAGGCCATTATGATGCAGCCGCAGAAGATGCACCAAAAAGTTTGCTGCGGAGTGTATTTCAAGACGCATATTTGCACTTCCTAAGAAAGAGAGATACTGTTGAATGGAATTCGTTTCTGCAGAAATCGTAATGCTAATTTGAAAGCATACTATTTACAAACATAAGAAAATGTCCTTTTCACTCACATCCAAACTGCTGTTGATTCTCTATCCGCATCTAACACACGGAACACAAACTACAACTACTACTATTCAAATTCACTAGACCTATCTTCTCCAACACTCTTCTCGTTCTGACTCTCCTAGACGTTATGTACTGGCTTTGTTCAACGGAAAACTACCACGTCATACTTGAAAAACGAACCACGGATGTCATGCGCACAACAACCAATGGCACACTCGACCCTCCCACTCGACAACCGTCTCCCCTCCGACCGCCATACTTGCCATATGATTCTGGTAAACAAAGCCTACCGAAGGGGAACAACGTTACTAACAAAATTTCAAAATACATGTCCAATAATAATAATAATAATAATAATAATAATGATGAAAAAATAATATATTTATGTGCTTTACAGAAGCCAAAGAAGGTCAACTATGACGATAATTACAGACACAGCACAGTACATTAAAAAATCGGAACAATAATAATACGGATTAAATATATTCTTATCCAGAAACATAAATATTTATGAACATACAGCCATTAGTCACAAGACTAAATTTCTTCAGTGCAGTATCTTTCATCCAGCACGAATTACACCAAAATAGCACAGAAAAATACCGTATTTCCTCGACTTAACGATGTAGTATTTTTAATTTCAAATTTTCAATAATCGGGGTGCGTCTTACATTTGATTGTTCTAATAATCGACATAGTATTTTCTCTCTAAAAACTTGTTACTAAATTAAGCGCGAGTCTCACAATCGATGGCGTTTTAACACCAAGTAAATACGGTAGAAGAGCTATATTTAAATTACCCAAATCTCCTGATATGACGATCCAGATCTGTCAAAAAGCTCTGCTGGTTAGAAAGTTGACGGTTCCGCAGAATCTGACGTAAATACTTCTCCGTAATGTAATAAAATCTAATGTAATGAAATATAATGTATTGTAATGCAATGTAACGAAATGTAATAATTCTTATATAAGATAAGTACCTGTGATATTCTGAAACGTTTTACTAGCACAAAATTATCTAGTCTACGATGCTATTCTTCTACAACCAATTCACAGCGCAGCTCTTTCTGCAATAACGAAAGCGGATTGTTGACGGCAATATATACTAATGCAACAATGCCGAGTAAACATATGACGCAACAATTAGTTTCTTATGTGACGCAACACTTAGTTTATGTGACGCAACAATGCACGCAGGAGTTTATATAAGAGCTGGCCATTGTTGTCGGTCCATATTTACACATTGTTGATATGGATCTTTCACATTTTCCTTACACATCTTCGTTACGCCTTTTTTGCCGAATGACCCTTCCGTATAGACGTATTTACGTCAAAAAATATCCGCTTTCTATAGAAGACGAAGGTTGTGCTGTGTTCAAAACAGCCCACCACTAGTCCCCATCTTGAACCAGATAAATCCGGTCCACATTAAAACATCATTTCGTAGAAGTGTGTTCATTATTCCAAGGTACCCGAATATAGCGTTGAAGTCTCTAAAAGTAACTGCTTCGGAATGTTATAAAAACTAAATACACACAATGCGGATACAAACTTGATCACTGCCAAGACTTGGCTAACAAGTAAATGCACAGCTGGAACACGTGGCTGAAGTATATCTTCTGCTTCAAGACCAAAGAAGGCAACATATCTTTCTGCGTGCTTTGCAATAATACCCACAATATTCAACTAATTCTATCAACTGTAATTTATCGGTATACTCTATTTCAAACGCTGTGGCAAACAGAATGTGCCACACAGTAACAATCATCACGTTACAGCTTTTGCGGTGATCAGCTTAACACTACACCATTTAGGATTTGAGGTTCCCACGGCGGTGAGTTCGAAGATGGCTGTCTTCTGGGATGTAGTGCCGTATAGTCTGGTAGAAGTTTACCAGCGTTTCTGAGCTCCTTGCTGCCTCCATCATCAGGGAGATTAGGGCAACTGACAAGACTACACGCCCTGACGAATTTACCTTTTTGTAACGTTTAGGCCTCCGTATCAGTATAAGATTCAGGATATATTTGGGCACAATTCATCGGGGGGAGGGGGAAGAACAAAGAAAATAAAAGAAAGCCGCAAACATTCAGTACATCTGACAACAATGTGGCAGAGAGGGAGTGGCTTCAACAACAGACTTCCTCTTCCCCTCATTTACGACGGCAACATTCAATTCCTCATGTACTAGAAAACTCAATGGTTATACCAGACTACTGAGGAGAAGCAATGTTGCCACATCATGCCCAAGGCACCATAAAAAACAGCGTCCTGAAGAGATTTGCTAGAGCGTCCTGGGAAACATCGTCGTTGTCATGCCAACAAATGTAAAATACAGCAGACTCCTTATTATCCGGGTTGGTTGGGAAATATATTTTCCCGGATAAAAAGTTGACAGTGGAACCACGGTTCCGGAGAATTGACGTAAATACGTCTTTGTAATGTAATGTAATGTAATAATTCTTATATAAGATAAGTACTTGTGGTATTCTAAAACGTGTTTACCAGCACAAAATTATCTAGTCTACGACGCACTTCTTCTACAAGCGATTCAGAGATCAGCTCTTTCCGCAATAACGAAAGCGGATTGTTGACGTAACAATTAGTGTCTTAGGTAACATAACCATTGTTGTCGGTCCATATTTACACATTGTTGATATGGATCTTACACATCTTCGTTACGCTTTTTTGCCGAATGACCCTTCCGTATAGACGTATTTACGTCAAAAACACGCAAGTATAATGAATACTTAAGTTTAGACAGACATATCCTACTTATTTTAGCGTTTTGTTAATAACAGAAAGGATTTTGTTGGTTTGATCACTCCATTTTTATACTTTACTCTACCACATGAGGATATTTCTGCGTGTCCTCGGTGTAAAGTTGCAGGCAACAAATTCATTGTTACATTAAATTCGTAACCTAATTTGCTAATATTACTGTAGGTGGCAACAATGTTCAATTAGCAGCGCTGCAGAAAAATTGACTGAAGGAGTTTCTCAAACTGTTCTGAATTATTTCCTCGCAAACATCCTTGCTGAGGCCAATACTTCGATAAACCATGAGAGCAAAACAAACCAAACACATCAGGGTTCCATTTTGGCCTCGAGCCATTTTTTTATTGTCGTTGCTTTCGTTCATCCATGTTTTAGCTAATCCAGTAGAATATGACAGTCACGCCAGTCCTCTACAGAGAATCCAAGGAGAAACAACACAGCAATATGGCAACGCGGTGACTCAACCAGCAGCGTGGCAACTGCTGAAGCTTTGTAGGGGAATGAAAGAAGTTTAGGTAGCAGATGGCCACGATTTGAAGTACCACTTCCAAAATATACTCAACACATACGTAAATTATTCAGTATTTAAAAAGTAGGCTAAATGGGAAACTGAACTGATGCGAGATCTGACGTTTTCACGACGATGAAAATTTGGATTGTGGCCTTCTGAATTGTGGTGCTGTATATTCTTGTACGTTTACACGACAGGGGTCCTTGCTGCCTCCATCAGGGCGTAGAGGACGTCTCAAAAATATGTAAACTTCTACCAGAGTACGCGGCGCTACAACCCAGAAAACTGTCATCTTCAGGAGGACACAACCAAATCACAGACAATGGTTCAAACTTTATGACTATGCAGGTCTTAGAGCAAATCCTATTATACCCAATGACACATTTCGACACAAAAACCAGCATCAGAGTAGAAACTCGTTTTATATGAATATCAAATGTGATGTTGAAGCAAATTCTGGTGCATTAAAGACAACAGACTAAGTGCTTCCACCTTCTTTACACATTATTATTGAAAAAATGACAACAAATTTAATGAGGCATAGATTATGTTATGAATTTGAAAACTGCAAGGCGCAGGCTTTGTTCATAATCTTCCATTCAGAAATTCTTGCTCAAAACGTCAAATATGCGGAAACCAAAAAAGCAGATTACATTCGGGTAATGCCTGCTGTCACAATCCTTTAGGTACCTGTCTGCTACCCAAAAAATAAAGATTAAAATATATAAAATTTTCGCCTGTCGTCTTGTTTCCGTACGAAACCTGGTCTCTTACGTCAGGACAAAACCACAGACCAAGAGCGTCTGAAAACATGGCGCATAAAAAGTTATGTCGTGAGAGGAAGCCGATGTTAACTGTAACAAAAAACCTCCAAAATGGACTCGTCACCAAATATTACTTGGAATATAAAATTAAGAAGGATAAGTTGGACATCGAAAGCAGCGCGCATGTAGGATATCAGAAGTGCAATAAAAATTTTGGGTGGAATGCCCAGAGGGTAGAGACCACTCTGAATACCTAGGTGTACATTAAAGGATAATACCATTAAAGACCTTAGGGCAGTGCTTCCCAAACCTGGGTAAATTATCCAAAAGTTGGTAAAAGCGGTTTTGACGTAAATACGTCTATGTGGAAGGGCCATTGGGCAAAATAGCGTAACGAAGTTGTGTACGATCCATATCAACAACCCGCTGTAATGTAACACAACAATGCCGAGTAAACATATGACGCAACAATTAGTTTATGTGACGCAACAATGCACGCAGGTGTTCATATAAAAGCTGACCATTGTTGTCGGTCCACATTTACACATTGTTGATATGGATCTTACACAACTTTGTAACGCTGTTTTTGCCGAATGACCCTTCCGCATAGACGCATTTACGTCAATAATAAGTTTAATCATGATGCAATAAGATCTTAAGCTTTCGTGGCGATTAAAATTGATAAAAGCATCTCGCGATTTCTACTCTGCTCTGAACGGATGCGCACAATCGCTTGATAACAAAAATTAACTACAAATTTAAGAATAATTTTTTGTTCGAATTCGATTTCGATTCCCGGCGGTGCCTGAATTTATAACTTGTGTTGGGCAAGGCCGTGGTCTAGGCATCACGGAGTTTTCCTCCGGGGGCTTCCCCGGTTTCTCCGTGGCATCCCAACAATTACTCCATTCACACACAGAAGAAGGCAATGGCAAACCACTTCTGGATCATCTGCCAAGAACATATATGAACAGGTCCCAGTCCGAGAAAAAGATGGAAGGATCCTGTTCATATGGACCTGTCGTCAGACAGAACACTAATAATATAAAGTACAATGAATAAATAAACTACGCTGTAAGGTTTAGGTCCTCAGTCACAACGACTATAAAAAAT